ACTGACGTAGGGATTTCGTACACACATTTAGTTTTTCACATTTTTTATAAGATATTAAGGTGTGAAAAACAATTTGAAAAAATTTTTACAAGAAACCACTACGTCAGTACCTCGGATTATTGAACCCTCTAAATTTGCGAGCACAACCGAAAAAGTTCATGCTCCCTCTCTCGCTCTAAGCAAGACACTCTTGCTGTGTTGATTTATGTTTTCTGTTGAGCGATTTTCGTTGAGCTCTTTGTATGTCGCTTTTTCAATGAGCGGAAAGAGAAACGCTCGCACAATGAGTCGGCAAAAGACCGATTGACCGAAAAACTCAACGCAAACGGTCTTCATATTTACTTTCGTGGTTGTAAAAAAGAAATAATAAATTTTTTTAATAGAACAATTTAAATATATTTTTAAATATTTTTGGTAACGATTGCAATTAATATATTTCGTCTGCAAATCAGACGCTTTACGGAAAAACAATGGAAAATCCGGGTGGAGAGTCTATATTGAGCTTGTTATTACATGGGAAACTACGGATAACTCAAAATAAAATTTTCATAGTGCAACTAAATAAATGTTTAATTCAAATGAAAAGATTGACCGTTCTATTTAATAAGTCAATGTATTTAAGATTTGCAGTACACAGAAAAAAAAACAAAAACAATGGAAAATCCGGGTGGAGAGTCTATATTAAGCTTATTAGTACATGGAAAGCTCCGGATAGCACGAAAACTGGACGAAAAGCACATTTAATTTCAAAATCCAATAACAAAAGAAAACGTTATGTTAATGAATGAAGAGTTAAGTAATGAAGACATCAATAAAACATTAGAGATTAATCGAAAAAGATATTTTAGAAAATGTTGAATTCTAGAATCAAATTCATTCTGCTTGGGTGAGATGACACAAAATAATTATTTGAACGATGGAGAATTATTAGATAGCATTAAATTTCAAAAGGAACATATTGAAAAAGACCTATTTTATAAATCAGTTAAATTGGAGATGGTTTATTATGATCGAGACCTTGGAAAATATAAATGAAAATGATTTTGATTTTGTAAAAAGTATTTTTATTATATTTAATTTTACTTTAAAACATTGTACAAAAATATTAATATTAAACTTAATATAAGATCAGATAAACAGATAAATAAAAATTAATTAAATAAATCATTTATTATACTACAAAATGTCTTCTTATTTATCCAGCTAGTCTTTGAAAACCCGAGCCACTTAACCAAAACTTTATTTCCTTTTTGCCTTACAACTTTTTCAACTAGGGGGAATCGTTTTTTTTTTCACTTCTTCTTTATAGAATCCGCCCTGAATCGGGCTACCATCTAAATCTTCAAATAAGTATGTTTTAAGGTATGTATTCTTCACCTTTCTAATTTTAAAGATTTTAGTTGTATAGTTTGGTGTATACCCTTTCTCAAGGACATGTTTATATTTACTAATACGAACGTGGTCCCCCTTACGGAATTTACTTGCAACAAATATTTTCAGGTGATTATACGATGTTTGTAATATTTGTTTTTCATTGGAAGAATTGACTTTACTTGGACTCATTTTTATTGTTCTATGCACTCTATTATTATATTTATTAATTAGTTGTTTATACATATCTATCCACTTATATTTTCCATTGAAACTAAACTCACGCCACATTAATTCTTTAAGAGTTTTATTGAAACGTTCAACTTTTGATGCTTTTAGAGTACTGTTATGTGCTAAACGACAAAAATATGCACAAATTGTGAATTTAGCAAAGCTGTTTACATTAAGACTGATAACGATAGGCGAAAAATCGATACAACACTGCGCGAAAAGCAGGACACGACAAATGGCGCCCAATGAAAATATAAGAAATTAATGAAATGGAATCAATAAAAGAAAGAAAGTAAATAAAAGTAGAAAGTAAATACTTACCAGAGAATGTGTCAATAAAAGCGACATCGGAAACCAGCTGTTTAGACCGTGGGCGGGCTTAGAACGTCGAACCCATCATAGCCACAGTGAGTGAAATTCCGAAAGGTCCTTTCTGCTGAGCACAATCCTTGCTGAGAGAGAGAAGACCGACTAGAAGTGGACCCATGACCGAGTAAAGCGGGACATGCGAAGCCAGGCTAGGAGGTTCATCAGTATAGGAAATAGAAAAAGAAAACAATTGTCTTTTTAATATGTTGTCTGTGGTAAAGTAAATGTGTAGTAACTTGTCTAAATTTGTTGTCTATGTTTGGAGTTGGTGTGGTCCAGGTACGCTGTGAATAAAGTGTGACATCGTTGTCCAGCAAGTTTCAAGTAGAGTCTGAAAGATAAGGAGTTCATTAAATTATTAAAATCGTTTAAATACTTGTGAAAAATTGACACGAACGGATTAGGAACTGAAGGAAAGGAGAGAAAAGTTAGTGGGTAATGTAAACAGCTACGTCTCATCCCCCCAGATTAGAAAAATTTGAAGAAAGAGATAAGAAAAACAAATATACATGAGAAAGGAACTAGGATATGCCAAATAGTGATATGAATAGAGTTCAAATCGGAAGAAAATTGAGGAGAAGTTTGGAGTTCATCCGGAATAGGGGACCAGCAGGTATGACTCCGCCAGTAACTCGCTCACAAGCAAATCAAGAGAAGAAATTTTAGAACATATCGGCACCCGAAGGCATGGAGTCGCTAAGGGAGCAGAATCCTGAAGGAATGGGAAGCGGAAGTCCAGGAGAAGCTAGTGGTCTTCAAGCGGTAGGCGGAACCGGGGCCATACCAAAGTCGTTGCCATCTGAGATAAAATCAGGGGTTAATGCGGCACTGGTTCAAGCTCAACATACGCACCAGGTGGGAATGTCGACGGAGTACGAAATTGTTCAAACAGCAGATGCAGCAGGATATGATGCAGTTCATGAAGGACATCAATGACTGCATGGCGGAGTGGCGCAGGGATTTCGCAAAGGAAAAAGCAGCATGGCAGGCATCTACGCAGGTTCGCCAGGCCCAAGGACAACAAGTTGGACAGGACCAAATACACTCTTCGGGGACGCCGATGCCGCCACCTCATGGCCTTGCAGAGCAGCCGCGGGCAAATCCGAGTCAGATGCCACCATTCGACCCGAGGATGCTACAACAACCTCCGCCAATCATACTGCCGGGGGTACGTCACCACATGGGTTTCCCGCCGCCAACATCTGGGGCGCTGTCCGAGAAGCAGGAGATGAATAGTCACGCATCGGAAGGGTATCGGCAAACCGCCTGGTCGACGGAGCAGGAACCAAGGAGATGGAATGGGTCTCACATGACGCCGCCAGAACATCCTCCTGGAAACGGTGGGACTCACAACAACTTCAATCCAGGACCGGATCAGCGTCGGTCAAGCGGGGCAGTGGGCGATTCTGCGTTTAAAGTCGGCCAACTGCGGAAGTGGGGGCTCAGTTTTGATGGAAGTCCCAGAAACATGCCCGTGTCAGAGTTTATATTCCGCCTCGAACATCTCCAAAGGTCGTATCAGGTGAGAATTATAAGAGAATTTCACGTGTTAGTTGAAGGACAAGCCAAGGAATGGTACTGGATGTACGTGAGGTCAACGGAGAAGCAAGAGTGGACTTACCTGAGGTACGCACTACAGCAGCAGTTCCAGAGTCACCGATCCAACTTCGAGCGAGAGTATGAGCTGCGAGAACGGAAGCAGAAGCCGGGAGAAACCATCGAGGTGTATATCCAGACCATGCTTGCGCTCAGATCTCGACTAGAGATGCCGTTTTCCGACTTTGACCTGATAAAAGTGATAAAAATGAACATTAGGGATCAGATTTCGAGAATTATATACCCGATATACATCACTAATATGGATCAACTCCGACATGAATGCCACGATGCGGAGAGAATATTGGCGACTCGGTGGACCCGACATCCCAGCAACCTCGAAACTCACCGAGGGTATAAAGATCGTCCGAGGATCGATGAGCTTTGTCCGGAATCAGTCGGAGAAGAGAGTGTACCTGGAGAACAAGAGGAAGTGGAGGCATTAGCTAGACACTGGGAGACCAACAGGGAACGACAGCCACTTACATGCTGGAATTGTGGAACCGTGGGACACCCATTCAACGCGTGTGAATCGGAGGTGTTAAAGGTGTTCTGTTTCAAGTGTGGACTACCCGGTGTGAGGACTCCAAGATGTACTCGATGCCAAACGGGAAACGGCGTGAGGAGCTTGGGCAAGAACGAGGAACTACGCTCCAATCCGTTTGCCGTGAACAAGTGAAAGCCTCGTCAAATTGCATGCCTAATGATAAGGATAGCTGTGAGGAGAATAAAATTAGTAAAATTCTGATAAATATAAATAAACCAGCACATACCATTAAATGGTCGAAACGTGAACCGATAGCAGTCCGGGAAGCACATTACCAAGAGGTCAGGAACCGAATATTTGGGAAAAATGATCCGGACCGGAACATTTCGCCAAAAATTGCCAGAGCCCGTAGGAGAAGTCAGCAGCGGAAGGCAGAAAGAAGGATGATTTGTTCGGCCATCAGAGCTGCGGTGGAAGGCGACAACAGACCATTCGCACAGGTGAAGATCGAAGACCTGGAGGTCGTGGGTCTCTTGGATTCCGGGGCATCAGTAAGCTTGCTTGCGGAAGGTTGCCTAAAAACAGTGGAAAGGTTAGGACTGAAATTAGAGAGATCACAATCGATAATGAAATCAGCAGGAGGTACACAGCATCGAGTAGTGGGGAAGATTCAACCCAGCATCTCGTATAATGGGGTAACACATCGATTGCCGATACTCCTTTGTCCATCCTTGAAACAAAAATTGTACCTGGGCATAGATTTCTGGAGAAAATTCGAATTGGCACCAGAGGTGGTGGGTGTAGAATCTTTACACCAAGTGGAATCCCAATTTATGGCCAAAGGAGAACCGATAGAGGCACATATCCTATCCCCCGAACAGACTGAGCAATTGGAAGAAGCAAAAGGACGTTTTTTGACCTACGAAAGTAAAGGATTAGGACTTACCAAGGTAGAAGAACACTCGATCCAGTTAGTTGAAGGAGCTGTACCCGTCAAGGAGAGATTCTTTCCCGTGTCTCCGGCGAAACAACAACTGCTATTCGCAGAAGTCGATGAAATGCTACGGTTAGGAGTCATCGAGTTAAGTGAAAGTCCCTGGAACAACCGAACGACGCTGGTACAGAAACCTGGAAAGAATAGGCTGTGCTTAGACGCGAGAAAACTGAACACACTAACAGTGAAGAATGCTTGCCCGCTACAGAACATTGAGTCGATTTTAAGCCGGGTGGATGAGACGATTTTCATCAGCAGTATCGATTTGAAACATGCGTTCTGGCAAGTGGAACTCGATGAGAAAAGTGGTCCCCTGACCGCTTTCACAATACCTGGAAGGCCACTTTATCAGTTTCGACGGATGCCATTCGGATTATGTAATTCGGCTCAAAGGTTGTGTAGGGTAATGGACAAGTTAATCCCACAGGGTCTTCGCAGCCGCGTCTTTGTATACTTGGATGACTTGCTGATGATATCCAAGACTTTCGAAGAACACTGCATGTTGCTGAAAGAAGTCGCAGAGTGTTTGAATAAAGCAAGTTTGACGATCGGGCTACACAAGTCAAAATTTTGTTTTAAATACTTGCGATATTTGGGATTCATAATCGGTGATGGGGCCTTGCGGACGGATCCGAAGAAAATTGAGGCGATTATGAAGATAGAGGTGCCCAAAAATACGCGACAACTACGCAGCTTCTTAGGAACCGCAGGCTGTTATCGCAGATTCATCCAAAATTTCTCCGGTGTAAGTGCGCCGCTCACGGACTGCCTTAAAAATAAAACAAAATTTATGTGGACGGAGGAAGCAACTACGGCATTCGAAACGCTGAAGAAAGCACTTACCTGTGCGCCGGTATTACCTCATCCAGACTTTGGAAAACACTTCTGGATACAGTGTGACGCCAGCCATGTAGGAATTGGGGCAGTATTATACCAGCAAGACGTAGAAGGATCGGACCGGCCAATAGCATTCTTTTCGGCGAAGCTGAGAGGAGCACAACTCAATTACAGCGTAACGGAAAAAGAGTGTCTCGCAGCAGTAAAAGCCGTAGAAAGATTCCGGCCCTATGTGGAGTTGATGCCGTTCACGATCGTTACCGACCATGCAAGCCTGCAATGGCTTATGACGCTCAAGGACTTGAACGGGAGGCTGGCGCGGTGGTCGTTAGCGTTACAGGCATTCGACTTCAACATAGAGCATCGGAAAGGGAAAGACAAAATCGTGGCCGACATGCTATCTCGGCCGAATGAAACCGCCGAAGTAGAGTTCTTCGAGTTTGAACAACTGAATTTGAGAGTCCTGAATACCTGGAAAGACTGCAGTTGGTTGAAGAGCAAGGAAGACATAAATTTCCGGACTTACGTGTGGAAGAACAAGAAGACACACTTCAATAGAGAGGAAAGTGGGGAATTTGAATGGAAACTGTGGATTCCGGAAGCATTGACGACAACTCTAATCCAGCAAGCCCACGGCGGCGACATGGCGATGCATGGGGGTATGGCAAAGACCTTGGCGAGACTTCAGCAGATGTATTTCTGGCCCAAAATGGTAGTTCAAGTCCGAGACTTTGTAGCAGCCTGCGAAAACTGCAAAGAGAACAAGCACACAACACAGATAAAGCGACCAGTGATGGGGAAGGACAGATCGACCCATTCAAAAGATGTACCTGGATTTCTTAGGAAAATATCCGCGGTCTCGCCGAGGAAATACCATGCTATTTATCGCATTAGATCACTTGACCAAGTTTGTGTGGCTAAAAGCGATGCCGAAGGCCTCATCGACAGCTGTAATCTGATTGCTGCAAGAAGGAATATTCACCCAATTCGGAGTTCCGGAAACAATCCACACGGACAACGGAAGACAGTTTGTATCCAAGGAATTCGAGAATATGATACAAGAATATGGAAATACACACATGAAGACAGGGAGATACGCACCACAATCCAATGCTTCGGAGAGAGTGAACCAATCCGCATTAGCAGCAATCCAAGTAAACATCCAAGACGACCACACGCGATGGGATGAACACTTACCGGACATACAAGCATCGCTGAAGTCATCCATACATAGCAGCACCGGAACTTCGCCGTATTTTGCCATGTTCGGACAGCACATGTTCACGAACGGGAAAGATTACTCGCTGGCTCGCAAGTTGAATGCCCTGAATGAAACTGAGATAGCCCAATTGCCCAGGTCGAAACGACAACAGCTATCCAGAGAAAAAATAAAGGAAAGGATACATCAGGCCTACGAGAAAGCAGCGAAGAGTTACAACTTAAAGGCCCGAGAGATTCGATACTCACCGGGGCAAGAAATATACAAGAGAAACTTTGCCCTAAGTGACTTCAGCAAGAATAGGAATTCCAAGTTTTGCAGAAAGTACACTAAATGTCGAGTCACAAAAGCGTTGGGAAACTCTTTGTACGCTTTGGAAAACTTGCGCGGCAATCCTTTGGGAGTTTTCCATGCAAAGGATCTGAAACAATAGTGCCCGGCTAGCAAATCACACTCACCAGGTATTAACCTCAGGGTTGTGGGCGGTGGCCTACGTTGGGCAGTACAACCAGCAGAACACGCACATCCTCCGCTCCAGTTCCGAGACGAGCATCGAAACCGTAGTGTGCTTGTTATGTGCTAAACGACAAAAATATGCACAAATTGTGAATTTAGCAAAGCTGTTTACATTAAGACTGATAACGATAGGCGAAAATTCTATACAACACTGCGCGAAAAGCAGGACACGACAGTACTGATGGTTGAATAATGATTTATCCTATAACTTTTCATTAATACCTTAAATTTAAAATTAAAAAATTCAGTGCCATCATCAGTTTGTAGGTTTTTCGGTGTTCCATGACTTGATTTAAATATTCTCTCCATGGCTTGGGAAACATCATTTGCATTTTTTGATTTTAATGCCTCACCACAAGCATATTTCGAAAATGTGTCTATAACAGTCATCAAGTGTCAGTACCCATTATTAGATTTTGAAAAGCCTCCCATTTCAACCAAATCTGCTTGCCACAGATCGTTTATACCCATTGTAATCACTCGTATTCGTTGAAAGCTTTTTCGAGATGGTCCGTGCAACTCATTTACGATTTCTCGCTTAATCATATTCTTCTAATAGACTGAAAAGCGACACCTTCTAACTCAATTGTGGTTTTTTTCGGTAATGATATCGGTTTTGTTACATGTTTAAATATATAGTCCTCAATGGTTTTAATCTTTTCCAGAATTTTGGCAAAAATTTGGTCAGCGCTGTCTGCCCTCTTATTATTCAATTCAATTTTATTTTTTAACTTGAAATTTTTGTGAGTCGACGACTAACATTTTCAGTTATAATTTTTCTTAAATCTTCTCCCAACTTTCCGAGGATCTCATCAGTATATTGTTTCGTTGCTAGATCATTGTTGTCTACGGGCTTAGATCCGTTTTTGATACGTTTATTTTGAGCATTTAGATTAGCATCCTCATCGATGAATAATCTCTCAGTAGAATTAACATGTCTTTTCAAATTTTCTGATCGTTCCTTATCAACAGAAAAATGTCCAAACTTGTCGACAGACATGATGTTTATAAATTTAAGACATATTTGTCCTTCCTATTTTTACCCATTAAAATATAATCCTTTCTTCACGCAATTCCTCTAACATTGAAAAAATTTCGTTATTGTGGCTAGTGTTACCCGCTCCTTTTGATGCTAATAAAATTTTCTATCGTTCGACTAAGTCATTTACACCATTCCAATATACACAGTTTTTATATGAGTTCTGAAGAGGCATGTAACAAAAACCTGTTTTTGAGCGAAGTGGAGAAGACGTTGTAGGACTGAATTCTTTGTCTATTACCTTCTTAATAATATGGCTATATTTGTATGCTCGTGTACCTTTTATTCTGTTATTAGGTTTAAAGCCTACTCTATGTATATTCGTTTCTAAAATAATTTTGTAATACATTTTCAAATCTTGATCATCATAGTTTTCAGGTTTAAGTCTAGTACTCAGATCGACGAAAACCGCGAGCTAACCATGGGAGTAAGCGAGAGGCAAGTACGCGGCTAACGCTTTTCGTCGGGTTTGTTTTTCAGCGCGGTACTAAGATGAGCTAAGGAAATACCAGAAAAAATACCAGATTTCGCGAGTGAATTTTCGATGAATTGAAATTTAATGTTTGGCGGTGTTCGTGCAAAGGCGATGTGGAAACTAAAAATTAGAAATGGAAGGAAAACCCCAATATCGGATGCAGGAGGTCAGTGCTGTAACGGCGCCTGTAGCGACTGGCGAACCTAGGTTCAGCCTGAAAGCCTACTATACAGGGTCCGCTTAAACCAAAGCTTGACCTAGTGTGGCCACCTGTGTCGGCTATTCAATATTTCGATATTTTTGAACAGCTGAGCCAGGGTGGTCTTGGAAAGTTCTAGTTTGACACCTGTCGGTCGACATATGATATATATTTCCGCCAAGAGCCTCGCTGGTATCCAGCCGATTCCGGTTAGGTTCTTCTAATTTTAACCTGCGAGAGAAACGGACGTTCCAGCAGCTCAAAATTTAAATTTCAATTAAAAGACTAAAAGTCCGAAATATATATTTTTTGAGTGGCATCCAGTATTTTTGAGTGGCATCCAGTATTCTAAGTGGTGTTTAGCACTCAGTGTGGCTGTCAGCTATAAAAGCTAGCCAGCGAATAAAGCTTAAAGTAAGTGCAAGTGCATTTGTTTAGAAATTGGTGCGTATTTAAAATTCCGGGTGGAAAACCCAGCCAGTGCTGCCACAAGTTGCCGCCAAAGGCGCATCTTATTGATTCGGCCAATTTACTGGAGGATTTACCACCTCAAGAAGGCCAAAATCAAATCTCGGGGCCCAATCGTCAGGTTGGCCCGCGAGGAATGATTTGGAGAGCCTAGTGCACTGAAGTACCCCTATCTAGGGGTCCTGTAGTGCCGGCCAAGAAGTGCAGTTTTACCTAGAGCGGATCAGATGGCAATTTAATTCAATTATATAACCTGTCCCGATGCCAATCATGCCGCGCATCCGTACACCAGCCGAGTTTTAAGGGGTGCGCGTAGCCGTCTGGGAGGTTTCCGAGTGGAATATCGTTGCCGCAGATTTAGGGATTTATACCCGATTATGTTGTAAAAGCGCCACGTGTGTGAACGGCCTTAACCTAGCATGGCACACTAGCCAACCGGGTTTAATCTTAATGGAGATAAAACTCTCTTTCGTACTGGATCAGTCCTAACCCTGTTATATAACCAACGTGCTTTGAAAACCCGAATTTAAGAATTAATGTGAAAAGAAAATCAATGAAATCAAAGATATGCAAGCCATAAAGCAAACAATAATTTTTCGTAAAGCCTCAAGTGGCAACGCCATGTAAAGCGATAGTTATATTTGACAAATTGAAAGAAAATAACCAGTCACTCGGGTCAAAAGAGATAATGCACGCCGAGAAGCATTAATTTAATTTAAGAAGAGCTAGATTTTTTTTTAGGTTTAAATGAAAAATTTGTTATTGTAAAGCATTCAAGGAAGTACGATGAATTAGGAACGGGTTACAAGTTTAGTTTAAATCGTTTGCGCGTCGAAGAGAAATGAGAGAAATTTTTAGGTTAGGTTAGGTTAGGTTTGGGCGGCTGTCGGACTATAGTCCGACACACTTAGACCTCAGTGGGTCCGTTGTGATACCGCATGATCTCGTTTATTCCTTCTCTAGGATCCCGTTTCTAGTAGTTTCAGCTTGTGTTAAGCTGATCAGCATGTCTGCCACCCGGAAGATTTAATAAAGGCACTTCTGCTTTTAAGATTAATCTCCGATATTTCGGTAAGATCGTCGATGAAGGGGCTTCCTAAGTGTTTCAGCCTAAGTCTGCATAGGGCTGCGCAGAAGCAGAGAAGGTGTTCTACCGTTTCCACTTCTTCCTCATCCCTACAGCTTCTGCAGAAATCATTTTGCGGGGCTTTTAGCCTGCCGGCATGCGCGCCAACAAGCCAGTGGCCTGTAAGAGCTCGGATCAACATGCCACACTCTGTGCGGCTGAGCTTGAGTAACTCCGAGGTTTTTTTGTTGTTTATCACAGGCCATGTCTGGTGAGAGATGCGACACTGTGGTGCGTTTTGCCAATGGGTGTTGGCTAGTGTGTTGAAGTGGTTTTTTATGTTTAGCTTGCAAGTAGCCATGGGCATACCGACATTTTCCTCTCCTGGTAGGAGAGGCTTGGTGGTGCCCTGCCTGGCTAATTCGTCCGCTATGCAGTTGCCTACGATGTCCCGGTGACCCGGAACCCATATTAGGCTGA